GTTTCTCCTGCATGTTGTCAGCTAGGTACTACTTTCATGATGATTTTATTGTAAACTTCCAGAGAGCAGAGAGTAGGATGAAAGACCTTCAGGGTTGGAAGCCTCTTTTCAGATACCATTGTCTAGCTTGGGTTTGATGGTTCACTGATTCTCACCCAGAGCCAGTAGCAAATCAGGTCTGACCGAGGTCACAGCTGATGGTGGTTTAAGGTGTGGGTTTGGTGACAGACCTGGGTTTGAACTTGACTCTGCTATATAGATGGTCATGTGACTGTGGCCTTATTTCTTATATTGTTGGTGATAATTTCTTTCAGGTGGGCACTCTGCCCCAAGCCTCCCAAATGGGTGGAACCCCACTTGATGGTGCACTTCTTGAAGTCAAGTAGAACCCTTCAACTGAATCACTGACCTAGGGTAGCCTGGGAACCTAAGAGGCTCACAGGAGCAAGTGGGAACAGCAGAGGATTCGTCCCTGGACGCTGGTGAAATTCTTTTGTAAAACTTGAACATTGACCTTGACTTTGTGTGGATCAGCTTCTTTTTGATTGCCCACAAGTGCCTTAGGGTGGTGTAGAGCGCTGTGGGTATCCTGCTGAAGGAAGTGCAGAGGCCTGCTCTGTGCTTGGGCCCCAGGTGTGGGGTGTAGTGTCCTCATCTGTGGTTACAGTGCCTCCCAGACATTCACATAAACAACTCTTTTATGACAAGCAAGGTGATGCAGTGGAAAAAGCAGTCTTTGGAGTTAGATCTGTATCGCTTACCAGCAGTGCCACTTTCCAGTAAGTTTCTCTACCTCTGGGCCTCAGTTTCCTCCACAGTCTAAAGGTTGTAATGAGACTGGCCCGCAGTTGCTATGAGGTTTGTGTGAAGTGCCTGGCACCTTGCCCGGCTCATTGCAGACAGCCACCAGTGTCCCACTCTCCTACCTTGTGCTTGGGGAGACTTGCTCCTCTTTCCTCGTGAGAGGATCAACTGTCTGTGTCATTTTCTCCCTGCAAGTATTTAGCAGACTAAACACATCCCCTAACAGTACACCTTCGAGATCTTTCCACTCTTTGCACATTGAGATCTGCCTTATGCTTTTTTTTTTTTTAAAGATCTGTATTTTTAATTTTTAAAAAATTTTACTGAAATTTTATTTTTTAATCCTCACCTGAGGATATTTTTTTCTATTGCTTTTTGAAGAGAGAGAGAGAGAGAGAAAAAAAAACATCAATCTGAGAGAGACAGATCGATTGTTGCCTTGGTCGGAATCGAACCTGGGACCCTTTAGTCCACGGGTGACGCTCTAACCACTAAGCCAAAACAGTGAGGGCTGCCTTACACTTTTTAAAGGCTTCACAGTACCCCCTTATAAGGATGTACCATAATGATTTAACTAGACAGTCCTTGTAGATGACTGTTTATGTTGCTTCCAGTATTTTGCTGTAGAGGTGGGCTCCTTCACCTTAAAATCTTCCCCTTTTGAAAACAATACCTTGCACTCCTACTCGGACTCTCTCGCCTGCCTTAGATTGTTTCCAGGTTCTCATCACCACCTGACAACCTGTGTATTTTTTTTTTTTTTTTAACATGTCTTTATTGATTTCAGAGAGAGGAAGGGAGAGGGGGAGAGAGAGAGAAAGAAATATCAACGATGAGTCGTTGATCTGCGTCCTCCTGCACCCCCCTACTGGGGATCCAGCTGGTAACCCTGGCATGTGCCCTGAACGGGAATCGAACCGGGATCTCCTGGATCCTAGGTCGACACTCAACTGCTGAGCCTTGCCGGCCAGGTGACAACCTATGTATTTCAGTGGTCTGTCTCTTCCCACTAGAATGTCAGCTCCGTGAAGGGTTTTGTTCGTTTGGTTCCCTCTTTGGTGCCTGTGAACACTGGTGGGTGCTCAGGCCCTGTTTGTTGGGTGGATGGCTGGAGGTGCTACTGAAAACAAGTCATAAAGAGCTAGTTTAGCAGGGATCATTGCTTTTCCTTCATGAATTTTTCACTTTGCTAAAACAAATAATAGGCATGCTGCTGCAAGATTACTTGTGACTTTGTCAAGAATGTTACTGATCAGGAGGAACTTGCCATCTGAAGCCGGCTGCCTCTAGACATGTTCATTGCTGGGGGTAATGGAATGATTATAGTACTTTCACGTCTCATCTTCACCCCAGGCCCATATGAGGCTCCCAAAATGGTATTAGTACATGTGTTTTTTAAGTGGCATTTTCCAATCAGTGTCATACTGTGAGGCTTTTAACTTACCATTATATTCAAGGACCCACACTCTGTTTATAAGAAAATGATAGAGGAGAACCATTGCTAAATGTTAACTGTAAAAATATCACTGTATTTATTAGGCACTTTCCCTCACCCAGGAGTAATTTGCTAGAATATTAGTAGAAGAATGAAAGATAAACTTGAATTTCTAAAAATAACCTGGCTGTGCTTTTTCAGCAGCTGTTGTGTTGTTTGCTAATTTAGGCAGTTAGCTGCCAGTGTTCATTCTGTTGTTCATAGTCAGGCCCACTGTTTGAGTCTAGTCTTTTATTTATTTTTATTCCTAAGTATGAAGGGAAGAAGCCACACACCAGTTGAGTGCCTCCAGAGGAATGAGCCTCTTCGGGATTAAGTCACATGAACCAGACTCAGGAGAGACTGGTGTGCAACCCAGGGAGCCTGTTTAATGATTGTTGATGAAAGATGATAAAACCAGCCAGGCTGAACCTGACATGTAGGCAGAGGACACATGCTCACTCCCCAGGGCAGATCAAAGGGACTGCTGGTTTTATTGCAACATAGCCATGTCCATTGGTTTCTGGCAGCTTTTGAGGTACAGTAGGAGAGTGGAATAGATGTGATGAGGTGGCATGACCTGCAAGGCTGGACACAATGACTGTCCAGCCTTTTATAGAAAACGTTTGCTAACTCTTACCCTGAGGAAGGCTTCCCAGGGAGGCTTAATCGCAGCCAGCAACTAAGGGTGAGCTCAGAATGGAAGAGCTGCTGGGTGGGTCACCTCAGTAGTCACTGTCACACCTCCCTGTGAGGGCTACTGGGGAGCTCTGGGTATGGGTGCTTTTGCTTCTTGGCGCTCTCTTGCCTGACCTCACCATTGCTTCTTTTTTTGTTTGTACAATTGCACCTCTGTTGTTACCTCTGAGCCCCACAGTGAGCCCAGGTCAGCTCTAGCGGGCTTGGGAGAGCTTCACAGGTTTGCATGAACACATTCACAGACCAGGGGGTTCTGGTGGCAGTCCACTGCCCTCATCTCTGTTTTCTGATGTCTGTTACCCACCACACTAAAAAAATCCCGATCAAACCAGAACACTTGGCCATTTAAGGATAATCTTTAAAACAAGTCTGGGACACCCTGCTGTAGTGACTCATCCATCCATGGACCTGCAGTGAAGCTAAAGAAACATGAATCCGGCACCAACTCAATTTATAGGTTAGGAATCGAGTTCTGAGGAGGAGACCTCAGGGGGATAGGGCAGTGTCGGGATGCTGAGCTTCCGGGCTGATGTGGACTGGCGCCCACCAGGGTTAGTGAAGAAGACTGCTACATTAGTCCTGGGTGTCACTGCAGCTTGTTGAAAATGCAGTCTCAGGCCTGCCCCAGGCCTATCAAATCAGAGTCTGCATTCTAATAAGACCCCCAGGTGATCTGGGTGAACGGTCTAGTTGGAGAAGCACAGGCCTGAGGTGCTCTTAGGTTTTTAAACTTTCACTAGACTCAAGGCTTCCTGTTTCTTCACGTATGGGGAAAACCCACCATTTTGGGTTTCAGCCCAGGTTTAGGCACAGAGTGGTGAGGATGGTTCTTAGACATAAAGGTGGTTCATGTCTTAACCGGCTGCATGCTCCGTGAGGACAGAGGCCTCGTCCTGTCCATACTGCCCTCCTAGTACCCAGCACATTGTCGGGTGGGCTCAGGGTGCTCTGCTGGGTGGCCAAGTGGGCGAATGAAGGAGTGAATGAGCACTGTTTTGCCAAACAACATCGGAGGCAGAGGTCAGCCTCACAGACTCTGCTCTGAGTCCCTACATCTCAAAGACTTTTTCCTCTTATCTCAGAAGGACAGGCCTGGCTTCTGTTGCAGGAAGGCATTTTTTTGTTGTTGTTGCTGTTTTTTAGAATAGCATACTCAGGATACAGGATAGGTTCTGCTCTGAGTAATGCATGGTGCAGAACCACGCAGCAGAAAGGCTAGACCAGGAAATTAGAAGGCATGGCTCCCGGTCTCTGGCCAGAGCCGACTGGCCGGGGATCTGGGCAGGTTACTTCTCTCTCACTCCAGCTTCCTCTTTCTATAAAACAAGGATTAAAATACTTGCCCTGCCTGTTGTACAGAGTACATGTAAACGGGTTTGGGTGTTATACCAACATTAATTTGAGCTGCCAATGCTTGACTTCCTTACCCAGTTAGCATGCTCACCAACTATTAAATTGTCACTCAGTGTTTATATTGAACATTGAGTTTTGACCAACTTTATTATAATCTACATTAATTGTAGTAAAAAAGGACAAATATGAACAAGAAAGTCATCCTTAATTCCACCTACCACTCAGTAATAACTACTGTTACATTTTTATGTCTGCCGCCCACATTTTTCTTTGCACACATTACATGGATGTTCTTTTCTTGCAAACAGTTCATAGTATGAGGTAGACATTTTCTAATGCAGTGAATTTTGTTGATGAATTTTGTCTGCTGTATAAAGTTGTGACAAAAACTTCAAAGGTTGCTCAAAGAGCTTTCTGGATATTGTTTGGTTCACACCCATAGCTTGAACCTGTAGTGAAGGTTAGGAGATGGGGCTACCCCCTTCTCCACCTGGGGAAAGGGGCAGCAGCTAAAAATAAAATTCTGCTCTGCCAACGTTTTTATTCTCAGCGTGTTCTGTCTGATGACTAAATGGTCTTATCATTTGACCCACTTACTATGATACTTTCTTTGGGGCCAACAATATGTTTCTGTTTTCTTCTTTCCTCTCGTGCTTGACTCTGCTTTTCCCTTCCCAGGTTTCTGCAGTCAAATGCCCAGGCACAGGATGATTTGGGAAGTAGCCGTGGTGCTCACCTTGGTCCTGGGAACTGCTGCTGTTCCCGAGGACGATCCTGAGGACGGAGGCAAGCACTGGGTGGTCATCGTTGCAGGTTCAAATGGCTGGTATAATTATAGGCACCAGGTAAGAAAATGACATCGCTTTCTTTATGGCACTGGCATTCTGGAAGCCCTGGACTTCGTTACTGGAACAGACATTTTAAAAATCCATTTACACTCCTTTTAAGCTGGCGAGGGGATGTGTTGGTGAGGCTGTGGAGGAACCCTCATGTTGCTGGGGGGATTATGAAATGGTACATCTGTTTTGGAAAGCAGTTTGGCAGTTCCTCAAAATGGCCCCTATGGAGTCACCTCTGTCTAGCCCAGGGTTTCAACATCCTTTTTTAGCATTTGACCTCTACCCACTAGATACCAGGAGCATCACCCACCCCAGCCTTTACCAATATCCCTAGTTGAGACCCACTGGTCAACACCTTCCTTTTATAGATAACAGAGACTAAAAGAGAGGAAGTGACTTGCCCGAGGCCACCCAAAAGTTGAGGTACAGACGGGACTGAAGCCCAGGGCTCTGGTCAAGCCTCACGAAACCTCTGCCCTCTGAAACTCTGCCCAGCTGATCTCCCTTTACACCCTCCTTCCCATCTTTCCTGGCATTCTACCATGTCAGCCTGGCAGAAATTAGAGAGAAAAGGATCCACATCTGTAAATACATGAAAAGTGCAGCCTTCTGGTGGGAATGTAAAATGGTGCAGCCACTTTGGGAAACAGTCTGGCAGTTCCTCAAAAGGCGAAACATAGTTACCATCTGACCCTGCGATTCCACTGCTAGGTATTCACCCAAGAGAAATGAACAGGAATGTTCTCGCAAAAACTTGTACTCAGATGATCACAGCAGTTATTCGTAACAGCGAAAAAGTAGAAACAATCCAAATGTCCATCAGCTGATGAATGGATAAACAAAAGGTGGCCTATCCATACAAGGGGATGCTACGTGGTCATGAAAATGGATGGAGGACTGATACTTCCACGTGGATGAACCTTAACATTGTGCTAAATAGAAGCCAGTTGCAAAGCACTGCGTAGGGTAGGGTTCCATGTATATGGAACGTCCAGAATAGGGACATCTGTGTAGACAGAATGTAGGTTAGTAGTTGCCATAATCTAGGTGCAGGGGACGATAGGGGCACGGCTGCTGTGTGCATGGGCTCTCTTTTGGGTGTGATGAGAAGATTCTGGAATTAGGCAGTGGTGTTGGTTGCATGACTTTATGAATGTACTAGAACCACAGAGTTGTGTATTTTAAAAGACTGACTTTTATGGTATGTGAATTATGCTTCAATAAAGCTGTAATTTAAAAAGTCATTTCATCTTTTAATTCTCAGAAACAGGATGCACAGACCATCACAGTATGTGCTGGACTGTCTTCTAAGAGCCTTTTGCACAGGGAACTCATTTAATCTCTGTTGTGGGTAATACGCAGTAGTTCCGGTTCTCACGCCCTCTTTATGAATGAGTGGACTGAGGCATAGAAAGGGTCAGCACTTCCCCCGGCATGGGTCAGGTGGCAAGTAGTTGAGCCTGGATTCAAATGCAGGCCAGTGAGCTCTGGAGCAGCACTGTCCAGTAGAACAGCCACGTGTGTCATGGTGAATTTTCTAGTAGCTACATTAAAAAAAAAAAAAATAGGTGAAATTAACTATGTCTTATTTAACCCAGTCTCTCCAAACTATTATCACTTCATCTGTAATCAGTATAAAAAGTTGATAACAACATACCTTACGTTTTTATTCTGTACTGAGTCATTGACATCCAGTGTGCATTTACTTTTATGGTGTATTTGTTTCAGACTGGCCGCATTTAAAGTGCTCAAGGCCGTGTGTGGCCAGCAGCTGCTGTATTGGCCAGCGCAGGCCTAGAGTCTGTGTTCCTGATGGCTGGGCAGTGTTCTGCATGTGTGTTTCCCTCCCAGGGTGTCGGTTTTCATAGATAAACTCCTACGGGCTCTAAAATTGATGATTATTGAATGATATTTTTTGTATGTTTGCTGAATAGGAAATTTGGCTTAAGAACTTGTTGTCATAGCAAAATGACCCCTTTTCCTATTAATATTTGACAACAGGCCTGACCCATTTCCAGAGAAGCAACCCGAGGAGCAGCTGCTCGCTCCCAGGCTTCTCCACCCCCTTGAACCATGAGTCAGAAAGATGAGGTACTCAGTACAGCTCACTGATAGTGAGCAGGCTGATTCATCAGCCACCCTGGTTTTCATACAACCAACTTTAAAAAATACTTGTTAAATATTATTAAGTAAAGGTGTCCAATTAACCTTTGAGCCCAGAAAAACCTTCCTCTCCCCCTTAAATGTTGCTAGTTTAAGCAACATTTAAAATACTTAATATTGAAGTAGAATAAAGGGTACCAAGGCAAAAGAAGTGGCCAGACCGAAATACTTGTCCCTAAATGAGAGAGGACGATGGTGCTGAGGCCTCGGAGGCCGTGCAGAGAAATACGTGTGCTGAGTCATCACTGGCCTCAGCCCACATCCCTCCTGCCCGATTCCGTTCCTAGCCAGCTGCCAGCATTTGCTTTCTCGACTTTGGAGGCTAATCATTAAAAGCATTTGAAAGAACTTCCCCAGTGGAACCTATACAGAGTTTCACCCTTACGGTTTTATAAAGGCTTACGTTTTCCGTGGATTGTGACAGCACTGTCACACGTTTCTTTCATTAAGGGAAGATTAGTACACCAGGTGCAATTTAATCATCCCTAAGTGCTTTTCTGTGCTTTATGGTGGCTATTTAAACCATGTTTTGTCTTTACCGAATTGGCTTTTTCAGTTTCCCGTTTTTCGCTGGGATTCATGGGTGACGTTCTGAGTGTGGGGAGGGTAAGGGCTGGGGGCAGCAGATTCCCGGGGTTGGAAGCCGGACCTGTGAGTGGAGGAGAGGGAGAGGTCCCGAAGTGCAGGCAGCACATCATGACCGCTGTACAGTCTGTCCTTCAGCAGGCTTGTGAAGGGAAAAAGAAGTTAGGTCATCGGGGAGCAAAGGGCTGGAGGTGGGTTTCTTTCAGGACAGAGAGATTTGAGTACATGGGGAAGGAAGATCTAAGGCCTGGGAAGGGCAGTGGGGGACGGGTTGAACTAGATTGAAGGTGAAGTTCATTGTCATCAGGAGGACTTTGAGGATATCAGGAGTTGGGAAGAGAGCCAGCTGTTAGCAGAAGAAAGGGGGTTGGGGGAGGGGTTTGAGGTCATTGTAGGGCAGTGGGACTCCGAAGAAAAGTTGTGTGGTGGTGTGTTGGCAGGAGGACAGGGGAGCCATGAGAATGCTGTCCCCGCTGTCCTCTGCTGGTCTGGAGTTTGTGGTTGGAGTGGAGAAAAGGGGGCCACCACCTCCTCCCGGGAAGGCTGAGAGAGCATCTGTGTCCTGAGGGCCTGAGGAGGCAGGTGGGTGGGTGGGGTTCAGTTGAGACTGAGAGGGAGAGAAGTCTTGAACTTGTACCTATGGGAGGTGGAAGGAGGATGTGATGATGGAGGGTCAAGTGGCAGAGTCATGTTTCTGAAAGACCACCTTTCATTAAAAATGTGCACTATTACCAACTTTTTAAAAACAGCCTCACTGAGCCATAAGTTTACAAATCATACAATTCACCTATGATAACTGTATAGTAAGTGATTTTTAGTAAATTCATACAGTGGTGCAAGCCTCACCACAGTCCAGTTTTAGGACACTTCCATCATTCCATTTGCAGTCAAACCCTGTTTCTTCCCAGTCCCATGTAAACATGGATCTGCTCTCTCTCTGTTTTGCCTTCTCTGGAAACTTCATATAAATGGAATCAGACAATATGTCGTCTTTTGTGTCTGGCTTTTCACTTAGCACAATGTTTGTGAGATTAATCCATGTTGTTGCAAAGTATGAGTTTTATATTTCAAAAAAGAAACATGCTTTTAAAGAGGGCATGGTGGGAAGGGATTAGGATAGAGGGCCTAGCAGGACTGAGTTAGGGGAATGCAGTTGGTACAGGAGGGCTGTCCCTGTACAGGCCAGAGGCAGTGCAGGACCGTAGAAGAGCGTGGGCTTTGGACTTGTGCAGTCCACAGGTGTCATTCCTGCCTTCCAGTTACTGCCGTATTAGTTGGAGCATATTACATAGTCTCACTTTGAACCTGTGATTCCCTTGGAAGATGTGAGGTTGGCGGTGGGCTCAGTGAGGCAACCCTACAAAGCCCCTGACCCTGGGCCTCGCCTGGCCAGCGCTCAGAGCATGTCAGGTGGTAATATTATGCTTAACGGCTGTTGGATGAGCAGACCATGAGGACCTTTCTCAACTCCTTCCTACCCTGAAGGTGGACTCTTTCGCAGTGACTAGACCAGAGCATGCCAATTGTATTTGGCCTTTGTTCCAAGCAGGCGGTCCTGTTTAGCTGACGGTTGACCCAAGGTAGAGGCAGCAGGAGCAGACAGGGTCAGGACTGGCCTGCAGCAGGAAATCATGGGATGCATTAGTAAGCCCATCAGAACTCCTGACCCAAGCACTTGAAACACGCTGAGCCATGACAATCTCTGCTCAGTAGTCCGGAGGGTAAAGTCTTGCTCAATGCCCTCCTCTCAAATGTTACTTCAGATGGCCCTTCTCTTTTTAAGGGGAAACATTCATATAGGTCAGATACGTTCTAGGGAAGTGAGTCAAGTAGCCTTCAACATCATTTCCAAATTATTTGAGAGGGTTTAACCCTTTTATTTCTTTTGAGTGCCAGTACATACTTGACTCATACAAAGAACCCCTGTGAGTTAAAGTTAGAGGCAACCAAGTACCTCCAAGGATCCAGGAGGGAATCAAGATGTGACTTTGAGACTGCTGTGTGTGGACAAGGGCGCGGGCGGGTTTTGAACCTGGGTTTGAAGCACTGAGCCCTCCCTGAGCTTTTCCCCATCTGTGAAATAGGGGGAAAAATAGCTGCCTGCTAAGGCGATGGTGAGGAGTCCAAGCAGTGTTGGAGCTCGCTAACCCGGGATATGGTGAACCTGCTCTAAAAGATACTTTATCGAAACATATTTCACATATCACATGTAATTCATCCATTTCAGGTGCACAACTCAATGTTTTTTTAAGTAAATT